GAGGGAGGTAGATTTGCTACAGGGAAATCTGGGATGGATGGAGAGGGCACGGCAGGAACCCTCGAAGAGCTCAAAGAAGGCACCCTCTAGCAAGCTTGCTGGGAAGGCCAGTAAGAACAGTGGTGACGCGGCAGCCCAGCATGAGCAGTCAGAAAGGTGAAGCCGACCTTATCACTCAGGGAATCCATTGACTGACCTTTGGACAGGTCTACTAAGGTAGCCACTACTCGTATGCCTAGGACCGTCGGCTTCGGAGAAAGCTGGTCAAGTCACACGGCCGATACAAAGAACTGAGAGAGAGTCGATACGATCGTTACATTCATCAAGAAGCACAACAAGAGCTACCACCGTCAGAGCATTCTGCCCATCTGCTGGAACTTGTCTTGCACATCATCAGGATGCACCCTCCTACCAGTTGTGTTGTAGAATGAGCCTGCGATCCTCTTCCAGTGCTGTGTACCGTCTCTAGCGATCAGTTCAGACAGAACTTGCAATTCATCGAAGCTGAACATGTCATCTTCCTGCAGAGTTCGCCATTCTTCCATCGTGAACCTAGCATTGCCGTCGCCCGTTGGACTCGCAACTGTGTTGTCCTTCTTGTCTTCTTGCTTCTCCTGCTGCGGCGGACCTTTGCCTGTGTTCTGCTTCTTCTTGTTTGCATCGTTGCTGTCGTTGCCTTGCTTAGCCTGTCCCTCTTTCTTGTCGTTGTTGTTGTTGTTGTTGTTGTTGTTGTTGTTGTTCTTCTTTGTCTGCTCGTTCTTCTTGGCCTGGTCTTCCTTCTTAGTTGCTTCGCCAGCGGGCTTGGCATTCTTGGTGAGCTCCTTGTACCGACCTTTGCAAGCATGCTCTGGATGGCCGACTGCTGTGGCTACCAGTGCCCATGCCATCTGAGGTTCATTCTGCTTCATTTCAAGGATCTTTTTGTCGTCCTCGGCGGTCCAGGCCTGAGCATTCTTCGTGGCATCTGCTGCTTTTGTGGTAGCATTGTCTTTCTTGGTATCTGCATTGCCGTTGAGTGTCTTGGCACCCTCTTTGGCTTCTGGCTTTGAGTTCTTTGCTCGATGCTTGACTAACTGCCAATTGCCCTTTGCATCTTTGTTGGCTTCAAGGTATGCCGTGTGTCGCTGACCGCAGAACTTCGCTTTCTTGGTCTGATTGGTGTCAGTACTAGTTGACCATCGGTTCGAGGCCCATGGTACAAGGCACATCTTGCCGTCAAACAGGATGCTAACGGTTGTAGAAGGGAAGCTATGTGGGAGCTGGAAGTGACTTTTGACAGGACAGCCGAAAGTGTCATGTGAACTTTCGCAACCAGAACCATTATTATACCTTTGGCATGACGCCTGGCGCAGGTGGATTGCACCTTGACAGTGTTCGCGGTAGAAACGCTTCGAGGAGACTCATCTTGGGCAGCTCATCTGGGCCGAGATTGTCTCCTACAACAAAGGCAGCAGCAATCTTCGACCTCGTCCAAAAGTTCCCCATCTGTCAGAGCAAGCGGTATCGACTGTACGCCTGCGTTGTGAAGTAATGGCAGAAGATGCATGATGTGGAAGGGAGATCAATGATTTGGCATTCACCCTGAAATGGGAGTCCTGATCGCCATATACTATGGCGAGCATAACGAAAGGTATACTTCACTGGTATGTCCTGCTTACTCTGGAACTACGAGTGACCAGCTCCTGTCACAGAATCGAGGCAATAGATCACTTCTTGTTCAATTTTAGTCAGGCCATCAATCTAATCATTTGTGGCTGAGGCTGTCCTCACTCGGAGAGCCGTCACACTTTCAAGGCATGTACGCCAGACTCTGGTTGGAGGGACTTCGTGTGCTTGTGCGCATTGGATGTGGAGCATTGCCAAATGGATGATCATGGCCAACATAGAAATCCCTTAACATAGAATGAGTTTTTGTTAGACCACTGCCAGGACGGAGCATTCCCGCTTTTGACACGCGAGTAGAGGCCACTCAACCACCGCAGGGCACACTTTCACCTACTACGTCCACCGCACCTACGCAGCACGTCGACAATTCACAATGCTGTCGTCTATAGCCACGCTGCTGGCGATCGCCAGTTGCGCAGTCTTCACGAGCGCGCACAACATTGAGCTGAAAGCACACCAGCGACACTGTTTCCATGAAGAACTCCATCAAGACGACAAAATGACAGTCACTTTCCAAGTCAGCGATCGTGAGTTCGACAGCGCCGGAAACCTCAACATCGACTTCTGGGTAGGTGCAGCCACGGATCAGACGGTAATATGATACTGATGTCTCCCAAGGTACAAGCACCATCGAAGTTTGTCACAAACGAGAGGGGTGTCAGCTCGGGCGACCATTCATTCACAGCAGAAGAAGACGGACGATTTACATACTGTTTCAGCAACGAGGGATGGACGGCGACGACGAAAGAGGTCAGCTTCAACGTGCACGGCATTGTATATGTGCCAGAGAACGAGGCACCGCAAGATCCGCTAGAGAAAGAAGGTAGGATGGACCGAGTATGTGCACGATATACGCTGACAAGTTGACAGTCAAGGAGATGTCTGAGCTGCTTGCATTGGTCAAGGACGAGCAAGGATACATTGTCGTCCGAGAACGAACGCATCGCAACACCGCCGAGAGCACCAATGCAAGAGTGAAGTGGTGGAGCATCTTCCAACTGGGAGTCGTGCTTGGAATAGCAGGCTTCCAGGTTTGGTGGTTGCGTCGTTTCTTCGAAGTAAAGTCATCGTCTCGCCCTAGCTTTGGTAAGGGCGCACTGGGATAGATCGGCTGACGCCATCTGTAGGTGAAGCGCTTGGTATGAATCTGATGTATCATAAGACTTCAGCAGCATCGGATTGCGTTGACATATCGTTGCCTGAGGATACACGTATAATGTAGATACTACAATGTGTCGTAAGTAAGGCTTCACTGTCCGTCGTCATTTGGTATCGTTTGTATTCTCCGACCTTCCTATGCTCGCCTGAATAGCCACCCTTCGTGAATGCTGGTGGACGCGCGATGGGATGAGCAGTCTGGTTTGTACGCCGTGCGGCGTGCTCAAGGCGTGATTGCACTTTTTCGCAAGGAGTGATGCTTGGATTCATGCTCATCAATCTGTCTCAATTCATTCCTTCTCAAGATCCTTTGGTGAAGGGTCACCGATGCCATCCTCCTGAATGGCAAACATGCAGTCGCTCTCCGGCAAGCAAGGAGAATCGTAGATCTTGCAGATTCTGGTCTCGCCGCGGCCTTTCTTCAATGACAGACGAGTTGTCGAAGCGTGGGCGATGATGTTTCCTCCGATGGGCTTCTTTGGATCTGGATTGAACATAGCGCTTGGTCCACCATCAACTTGTGCTACGACCTGGTTCGTGATGACAACGGCGATGCCAAACTCGTCTGCCAGTCGTTGTAAAGTCCGCATGAACTTCGCAAGATGTGTCTGTCGACTGCTCAGCTCGCCTCGTCCCATGAAGTCCGTTCGATATAGGGACGTTGCACTGTCAACGACCAGAAGAGAGAACCTCGTCTCTGTCATCATCTGAGCAGCCTGGTTGAGTAATTGAAGTTGATGATCTGAATTGTACGCTCGAGCGTACGCAACGTTGTCGAGCACTTCCTCGCCAGACAGGCCATATCGATTCGCAACGGAGAGCAACCGGACTGGTCGAAATGTGCCTTCAGTATCGATGTACAGGCATTTGCCTTCTCCACCACCCATGTCGAATGGCAGCTGACAGGTGACTGCTAGAGTATGACAGATTTGACTCTTGCCGGTCCTGAACTCACCGAAGATCTCTGTGATACTGCCTGTTTCTATGCCGCCAGCTAAGAGAGTGTCGAGCTGTTTAGAGCCGGTTGTGATTGAGATGAGCTCCGATCGTCGTGCATGCATCTCTGTGGCTGTGGTGAAGCCGAGTGGTACAAGTTTGGAGGCTGTCGAAGTCAGCAACGTCGACATAGCATGGTCGACTGACCTTCGTTAAGTATCTTCGTGGCCTTCTGCTCTGACACGCCTTTGATCTGCTCAAGCGCCTTCTTCGGCCTATGATGTGAGCTTGGTAACGAATGCTGGCACGGCACTCACGTATATGCGACACTCTCGACTGTGTTGTAACCTGCGTCGACAAAGAGTGCAATGTCTCGCTTGGTCAGGCCTGCAACGCCCTGCGAGATGTCAGTGATGCTGCGAGTCCATGCGATGACATACATCAAGTGCTGAGAGCGGCGTCGGTGCTCCTGGACCTCCAGCGAGACCATCTTCATAGCCGGATTGTGATTGCTGATCGTCTTCTCCTGCCATATTCAACACTGTCGTTCAAGTGTCTTGGTGTATGATGTCAAGAATCGTCTGATGCGATTGTGTACGAAGTTGCCACTACTGTATGGTCTGTGGTTCGATGAACGCGACACAGGCAGCTGTCGCCACTGTAGGAAGGCACGCTAAGAACGCGTTCGCTCGTGACAACATCTGTCGTGCAGAGCAAACCTTCAACCTCACTCCATTCGCACATCCTATGTCACAAACTACTAAAACACACTTTCTGGTACTGTTTTAGCTGACCCTTCGGCCGCTGAATTGTTTGCAAGGAACTGAACCTCGTCTGCAGCAATTCCGGTCAAAAGCAACCCGAGAGCAGATGTAACGCAATACGATGATCTTCCGCACCCAACAGGCACCTTTCCACAGTAGAAATTATTCTGCAATCACATTCGTTCCATCTTCCCATTATCTGAGCTGGTACGAAGCATCATCCATCTCTTGAAGCAAGACCGTTCGAGGAACGCTTCCAAGGCGACTCGATAGACACCGCACCATGACCTTCTATACCTCCCGATGTCACATCTCGAAGCTGAGTCTATTCTACGGTCCTGTCATACCTCCAGAAACATCATCTGGGTATGTGCGAAGCGCCAAATCTGATGTTGATCGTCAAATTGGACGAAGAACTTGGACCACAGAGAGGATGCGCGTCATAAATCTTTTGAACTTTTCCACATCACAATTTACAGCTGAGTGGCGCAGCGGAAGCGCGCCGGGCTCATAACCCGGAGGGCAATGGATCGAAACCATTCTCAGCTACATTTTTGCTTTTCGGGGCTTTCAGGATCCTTGGATGTCTTTTGACCCACCTCAGTCCTCGGAACAACCAAGCGGCGTTTGCTGCGACTTTGGGGTTTCCAGGCGAGAAACATATCACCAACGCCCCTGCAGACGGGCAGCTGGCGGCCCTGTCTCCGCGTACCGTAGTTCGAACAAAAGGTCAGGAATCCCCTGTTAAACGCTTTCGAGCTGTAGCACTTTTCGTCCCAACATTAGCGGCGGACACGACCGCACCAATGAGCACGTCTCTAGATCATGGAACCGACACCGTGCATGCAGATCTACCCTTCAAATGGAAAGGTGGCATTTTGCTGGCAATACGACGAATCACACGAAACACAGCAGCCGGGTAACTTCGTTGTCGTCAAGGATCATATGCTGCAGCTATGCATCACCCGCAAGTACAATAAGTCATGCTTCTTCGAACAAGCTGGTGACTAGTCTACCTTTCTAACTCTCACGATGTTGATCGCAGCGCTTCTATCTGCCATGTCAGACAGCTTACTAGGCAGATGACTGAAAGAGCGAGCATCCTAAAATCGCGGCTACCTGTGTCGCTCAGGACGCTACAATGCTCAAAAGCATCTACACAGCAGGTCCACGATACAGCGTTGGGCGCCTTCGGAGAAAAGTAATCCCGACGTAGCTGAACTTACGCTGCGTCGTACTCAGCACACGATGGTGTTTCTCCATGGTGGTTGCTCGTTGCTCAAGCAAGAACAGCTTCCAAGGACTCCGCTCTCGTACTGAGAATCACTGTTCATCTGTCAACTCAATCGGCGGGTATGCTCTGCGTCCGAGCCACTCGTCGTGACAGGGGTCCACGACCGCTTCGAAGGTACTGCCTCAACTGCTCCAGGACGATCATCACTGCTCGAGCAAGGTTGGCGCATTGAGGATTAAGACGGCACATCGAGAATACCATGACAGTTCGGCATCGCAGCCATAGGGGTCACCGACTGCTCGAGCAAGCAGGGCGTCAACGAACCATCTCGCTGCAAGACGAAGGTCATGATCTGAGCCGAGTCACTTGGTGGTGGTCCCTGAGATACAGGCAACGACAGCTTGGCAGATGTTTGTGGGTGCATCCAAGATCTCACACCGATTGCTAAATGTTGTCCCAATGGCTCGAGCAAGGACGCCATCGAAGACCTCTATGGACGCAGCGGTGCTCTCACAACGCAATACACGTCCGCAGAAGACTTTACTCATCGCTCAAGTAGGGATACGTCAGCACAGGGCTACACGACTGCAGCAGGAACTTGTGGAGACCTGCCAGCTCAGTACAGGTGTACTCTAGGAACTCAATCAGGGCAGTCTTCAGCAAGCTCTACGGCTGCGGCGGTTTTCACAACAAGACATTAGCTCGATTTCCCATGACTCAAGCGAGGACAGCTTTCCATATCTCCATGGCTGCATCATGGATTTCATCCTGACTGCTTGACTCATTCGGAGGACGATCTCCATCACTTGGGTAAGTACACCGCTGCGGATACCGGTTGCTGTATTTGGGAGCTGCTGCTACTATTCCTTTCTTTTCTCACGTGCTTTCAACTTCACTACCTCGACCTTCGTTCCGTTCGCATGTCCAGCAGCATGGACTATACATAAGTTTGCTCCTGAATGCGCTTTGTTATCACGTCCATTACGTCCTTTCACTTAGTCACGATGTGTTCGCTCGTCCCCACTCCATGATATATTCGTCAGACTAACGGCTCAGTGACGGCGCAAAGCACAGAGAAAGCACTGTCAACATACGAGCTGCTAGAGAAGATATTGATAGATGTGCTGGAGAGCCTAGATGACTTACATAAGGACACAGTAACGGCATCGTCACTCTTGACCTTCTTGGTTGCAGCGCCTGCAACCCATGCCTGACTCGAACCGCTGGCCCATTGGACGACCAGAGCTCAAATGTTCAAGATCTTGCTGATGGCCACACAGTCCACCTGAGAAAAGATGCTGCCTTGCCAGCCATACCTGCCTCCTCTACGCATCTGTGTCTAAGACCACGCTGGGCTGTGGGCATGCCAGGCAGAAATTGGCGCAGCGGGCGTTGGTATGAATGGGTTGACAATACCATCACTCTAGGCGAAATGGTGGATGAAGTCACCATACATAACCCTGGTGACGATCGCATATTCGATACTGACCTGGGTTCTCGAGACAGTCTCGTAGCTGATCTCACTGACGAGCTTACACGAAGAGAGCGCCGGGATATGACCGTGAAAAAGCAGAAAGCAAGGTCCATGGAAGCCATTGAAGATAAGGAAGCAGTTCAGCGAAACATAGCTCTCATGGAAAGGTCATAGGGAGTAGTAACGAAGTACCGCCGCTTCGCCAAGTACTGTTGATGGGCAGACCGAGCACACAGGTGCTAGGTCAAGGAGTCGACATGAAGAAACCGGCTTGCTATTTCGTTTAACGGCGTCCTATGCATCAAAACTTCAACACGGCTCTGCTCATGTGCAGATCAAGCATACAGAAGATACCGTACGATGGTCTCAAGGATACGGACTGACGGCTCGCCTGAACGGCTTCAGTCATTTGATCTTCTTACGCTCGATTTTGCAGATCTGTAAGTCAGGTATATACATCTTGTCAAGGTACATCACCAGGGACTGCTGTATGGTGATTCATTTGAAGGTAGACCCAGGCCATAGTTTGGTGCGAGGTTGGGATAACTTGTCATCTGTTGCCATTCGAGCACCAGTCATGCTATCAAAGGTGTTTGCTCAACCCATTCAACGATTCGCTCGAAGGGACTGAAATACTTGCCTTCACTACACACTGTGCTCAACTAGCTGAACACATTTTCCTTTGAACCAGCGCTCAATCGCGCGGCGAGTTGTATGACTTGTGATGAAGAGACCGCCAGCGACTCCATTGAAACAGCGGTCATTCTGACGGCGATCCGCAAGTACAACGATATTGGAAATAGAAAGAATCGTCCTAGTGCTTACCATACGGACGCACCCTACACAAGACAGAATGAGCACTCCTCCCAACACAGGCGCGGCAGATAGCGCAAGACCTACTGCAGCGTCTTTGCCTCCAGAAGCATTGGCACTGGCCACGAAGCTATTCGACTTCGCACGAGAAGGCAAAACCGATGAGCTGTCTCAGTACCTGTCGGCTGGCATTCCTGTCAACCTGACGAACCACAAAGGCGACACGCTGCTCATGCTGGCAAGCTACTACGGAAACGTCGATACTGTGAAGGTGCTGCTCGACAAGGGAGCAGATACAGAGGTGCTGAATGAACGAGGACAAAGCCCTATCGCTGGTGCTGTGTTCAAAGGCTATGACGAAGTTGTGAAGGTCTTGCATGCTCGAGGTGCTAGAGTCGATGCTGGGCATCCTACTGCTGTCGATACAGCTATCATGTTCAAGCGAAACGAGGTACTGCAGCTGTTCGGTGTGTCAAGCGATGGCGAGACTATCGTACACCCATGATATCGGCACAGGGCTCATTACGGCTCTCAAAGACTTCACTCCATTCGGTCTGGAAAGCTCGCCGCCTACTGCAGTGTAGCAAAGAGACCTGCAAGGTGCGGGTTGACCATCTCTCATCAGTGATTCAAGGACTTGCGGCTATTGTCGTCTGATCGACATACTGTACATGCTATCTTGTGTAGTCCCGAGTACTAAGCATCTCTGCCCTCACAGTATAACAAATTGTACAAGTCTTCCAGCATCGAGCGAGGCAATCAGCAATGTCATTCGCCATGTGGCTTGGAGGCTGATAGATGGTTGTGACGCCAGTTAAGAGCTGTTCGGTTGAGGTGCTCATTGGCAAGGAGAAGACATTGCGTGCCAATGCTATCCACTGCGTTCCGCTCTTCTGTCTCTCGAGACATAAAGCCTTGCAAGATCATTGCGTCGCATCTGTTGTGAATTGTAGCAGCAAAGCAGTCTCAGCTGGTCGCTTCTCATCTCATCTTGCCCAGACAGTGTGTCTGTCCAGTGACGAATCCTCTCAGTCACGAATGCAATCGTCATATGCTCTGACGGCTTCGAATCCATACGAACCCTCCTTGGGTTGCTTCGCCTTGACTTGGTCAATCACCTGCCGCAGTCCGGTATCATAAGTCGCGATGACATTACGAGCAAGCTCCGGTTGTGGCATTTGTTTGCCAAGAATCTTCTGCGCTAGCGACAGTCCATGCCAGGCTGGTACATGTTCGAGCACTACGTCCACCTGTCCAGCTTCAGGAGCTTGCCATTCAACCTTCATCCAATGTCCTTCGCGCTCGAACCCGGACAGCAGACGAGCTGCGGCCGATTCCACCTTCCTATCAACATCTTTTCCATCCTGATGCTTGTATGCATTCACAGCTGCCAGCTCCAGGTAGGTGCCGAGCAGTTCTGGACTTTCGGTATCTGCCTTGATTGGTTTCGACTTGCGATCCTGTTGTTGTGCTTGAAGTAACGTAGCAATCGTTCGTGATCGTTCTAGAGCCTTGTTGACAGACGTTTCGCTCCACTTTTGCCTCTGAGGGTATGTGCGAAGTCCCCGAAGTGTGTGTTTCAACACTCCTTGGCTAGCAATCGAGATGGTGGACCGTTTGGGTTGGTGAATACATGTGATGACATCGTCGAGTTGCCCTTGTTCGACCGCCTTTCGTACATGTTGGTCGATCCGCGCAGGACGGCTCCAGTAGTTGAGTGTATCTATTAGGACTTGCAGCTTCGTGCTCTTGGCTGCCACTTCTTTGGCTACGAAGATTAGCCATTGGAGTCGTCGATTATTGGGGATACACACCGGCCACTACTGCAGCCATGGCGACGTCAACGCGGGCAATCGTAGAATGAAAGGAGCCGCTGGTAGGGTGCGAGGTCGTTGTCGGATCTTGATGTTGTAATCGTCGGATGGAAGCAATCGCAGAAGCGGTGGATATCTTCTGTCGGAATCCTCTCAAGAGTGGCTCAGACTAACAATGCAGCCATAGCACTGTCAATGATTTAGATCGTCAATC